CCTCTGCACTTTACTTCTGCACCTCCTCTGAGTCTCAGTGTGCTTTTCTCTTTCCTTCTAGTTGTAGAATTTCTACTCAGCCAGCCTTCCTGTGGTTCTGGATGATGTCCATTTTGTCTTTTAGTTGTATTTTTGAAGTGGTTGTGCAAGGCAGCAATTTCCGGTGTTTACCTATGCCGCCATCTTGGTTTCTCCAACTTGGGGAGGTTTTTGATGACTGTTTCAGTTTCTTTAGTGTTTTCTGGTCCATTTAGACCAGTGGTTCTCAACCTTCCTAATGCCGAGACCCTTTAATACAGTTCCTCATCTTGTGGTGACCCCCAATTTCATTGTTACAAATTGAACATAATTAAAGCATAGTGATTAATCACAAAAACAATATGTAATTATATATGTGTTTTCTGATGGTCTTAGGCGACCCCTGTGAAAGGGTCGTTCGACCCCCAAAGGGGTTGCGACCCACAGGTTGCGAACCGCTGATTTAGACCTTCCAATTACTTATGAATCAATCTGGGAAGGTGATAGATGTCTAAGAAGTTGTCCATTTCTTCTAGGTCATCGAATTTGGTGGTATATAGCTTTTTTATAGTATTCTCGTATAGTTTTTTTATAGTTCTCATATAGTCTTGTATCTTCTCCTCTTTAATTTCTGATTTTGTTTATTGACTGTTTTCTCTTCTTTCCTTAGTGAGTCTAGCCAAGATTTTGCCAATTTTATTAATCATTTCAAAGAACCATGTCTTTGTTAAATGAATTTATTCCTATTGTTTTTGTGTTCTCTATTTTATTTAATTTTGCTCTAATTTTTATTATGCCCTTTCTTTTTTTGACTTTGGGCCTTAATTTTTTTCTAGATCATTAAGATAAAATGTTAGATTTTTTTTTAAATTTGAGATTTTTCTTCTTTCTTGTATGACTTTTTTCTTCCCCAGGTTAGGGAAGTTTTCTGTTATTTTTTTCTTCAAACAGGTTCTCTATACCTTGCTCACTTCCTTCTCTCTGGGGTACCCATATGATGTGGATGTGGTTAAGTTTCATGTGGTCCCAAAGTCCCCTTAAATTATTCTAATGATTTTTAATTATATTTTGTTTCTGCTGCTCTGATTGAGTGATTTTTTTTTCTTCCTTGTCTTCTAATTCGCTGATTTGATTCTCTGCTTTGTCTAAGCTACTATCATTCTTTCCAGTCTATTCTTTATTTCAGATATGTCATTCTTCATTTCTGACTGGTTGTTTTTCATGGTTTCTATGCCCCTTTTCATGTTGTTGATCATTCTTAAAACCACTACTTTATACTCTGTTGTTAATAAATTGCTTGCCTCCATTTCATTTAGCTTTTTTGTCTGTAGCTTCTTCCTTTTCTTTCATTTGGGTCTGTTTCTTTGTTTCCCCATCTTTGCTATTTATTCTGTCTGTTTCTATGTAATGGATAGGCCAGCTATTACTCTATCTTGGTGGGGTGGCCTTCTGCAGTGATTATCTTGTGGGACCCAGTGGTATAGTCTCCTTGATCTTCTGAGCTGGGTGTTGTAGAAATGTCCTTTGCATTGGTTATGTGGGCCCTCCTGTTGTGATTGGCTCTTGATTGCTGTTGTCCCATTAGTAGGTGGGTGTAGCCCTCGTGCTGGCTGACTGTGAGGCTCAACCCCGACCACCTCATGCCAACTGTTATGCAGAAATTGACAGAAAAAAATAAAGAGAAAACAAAAGCAAACCAAAAAAAACCCCCCAAAAAACCAAAAACACCAAACCATCATCAACAATAAAATAAAGACAACAAAAAAAGATTAAGAAAAAAATGTATGAATACTAAAAGATAAGAGGCCAAAAGAATTAAAGAAAAAAAATGAAAAAAGAAAATTTGAAAGAAGAGAAGAAAGTGGGAAAACAGAATAAGAATACAAAAGAAAATAAAGATAACGAGTGGAATAATAATAATAATATAAAAACAGTAATAATAATGAATAAAATAAAATCCTATATAATAAAAGGCTAACATGCAAATAGACCGAATGGCAGAACAACTGAACAACCGGTCGCTATGACGTGCGCTGATCACCAGGTGGTGTGTGCAGAATATGGCGGGCGTCAGCCATGGCGGATGGTGGAGCAGGTGAGTGGGGGCACCAGACCAGGGCGGGGCACTGGTTGCTGTCATCAGGGCAAGCCTCTGGTGGTTACTGAAAACTCCTTGCTTCCGCACACTGCAGTCCCACCTGGTGTTTGCACCTGCTGCCAGCACTCAAGCCACCACTTGAACCCGCTGCTGGTGCCCGGCACCGGCCCCAATCACTCTGCAACATCAGCGGGTGTGAGTGGCAGCTGCTGGCCCCGATCACCCCTCAGGGCTTCTCCACCTTCCCCTGCTCCTGAGGGGCAATCGGGACAGCAGCCACTGCGCGCACCCACTGACGGTGCTGGCCCCAATCTCTCTGTACTGTAAGCGGGTGCGAGCAGGGGCCTGTGCTGTCAGCGCGTGGGAGTGGTGCCAGCGGGAGCGGGGCTGCTGGCAGACAGGGGACTGAGGGCCAAAGTGGGAGGGGCCAGGCAGGGGCACAGAGGATGGGCCAAGACCTGCCCCTGTGCCCACCACAACCTTGTGGCCCACCGTTCCTTTCAAGGTGCACGAATATTCATGCACTGGGCCCCTAGTATTAAATAAAAGAACAACAGAAAAAGAAAAGAGAAAGAGAAAAAAATAGATAAGAAAAGAAGAGATAAATAAGAGATAAGACAGAAATAGTAAAGAGAAAATAAATGAAAAAAATAAAATATAAATGAACAAATAAAGAAAAGATTTAAAAAGTGGAGTTCTTCTCCACATGCTTTTGAGCCTGCTGCTATTACTAGTACCCTTTCAACCTGTTATTTGTGGAGTTTGTTGGATTTTGCTCTGGTTTTGTCCAAATCTGGCCACATGGTGTGCTGGTCCCTGGCCTTCCAGGAGGTTCTCTCATGCGAGTCGTTACCCGTTGCTGTCCCTGGCTGGCCCTGGCATCCTGACTGAAGCTTGGCAGGGCGCCTTTCATCTTCTCAGCCTCTACAGAACAGAAAATAGAAACTGGCCATTGGAGCACCCTTGTTTCTTCTTCTATTTTTGTAAATTTGCACTGCAGGGTGACTTCCGGTCCCGACTTCCTCAAACATCTGAGGAATTCACCTCTTCACTCTGAGGTAAATGCTTTTTTTGGTGAGAGAACATCTCAGATTACAGTCCCTGGCCTTGTCCTCATGCTGCTGAAGCTCTTGCTGTTGCTCTGTGGTGAGTAGGACAACGCAGAGTCTGGGGTTCCATCACATGGGGGCTCTGTCTTCTATAGAGCTGTGGGACTCTCGGGAGAAGAGTCTGCCTGGCTATGCTCAGGGATGCTTGGATCTCTACTTCCAACTGAGGGTGGAGTCAGGCAGAAAGTGGTAGATACAAGAAAGCCAGGTTTTTAAAAAGGAAATGATCATTTTAGCTTTTATCTCATAGGATGTGTTCACCGTCTGTCTTTCTACTTTTATTTATTTATTTTTATATATTCTCTATTGATTTCAGAGAGGAAGGGAGAAGGAGAGAGTTAGAAACATTAATGATGACAGAGAGTCATCGATCTGCTGCCTCCTGCTTGCCCCACACTGGGGATGGAGCCTACAACCTGGGCATGTGCCCTGAGAATCAAACCCTGACCTCCTGGTTCATAGGTTGATGCTCAACCAGTGAGCCACACCAGCCGGGCTGTCTTTCTACTTTTTTTTAAAATTGTTGTTGTTAATCCTCACCTGAGGATATTTTTCCATTAGTTTTTAGAGAGAGTGGGAGAGAGAGGGAAAGACAGAGAAACATCGATGTGAGAGGAACACATCGATTGGTTGCCTCCTGCGCGAGCCCCGACCAGGACCCAGGCCAGGGAGGAGCCTGCAACCCTGGTATGTGCCCTTGACTGGAATCGAACCCGGGACCCTTTGGTCCGCAGGCGGATGCTCTATCCACTGAGCCAAACTGCCTAGGGCATGTCTTTCTACTTTTAATGGATGATTTTGTTTTTGGTATTTTCAATAGCCACAAAGATAGTTTGTACAACAAATTGGTCTCTCAGTTCTTTGCCCTTCTTACTATAAACATTGTTTTTCTTTATCTTTTTATGACCTTCCATTCCTACCATCAATCCCTAGAGCATTGCTAACAACTGCCCTATTTCCAAAATCATTGTTTTCAGCATCAGCCCCCCTTCCCCACACAACTAACAGACTGTATCTCCAGCTCACGTTCTCTAATGCTCGGTCTCCAACATGTCTTCAGCTCCCCAAGATTACTTTTCCATTGTCAATTACTACGCTCTGCATCCTCTCTTCTCACAGTAGTCACCTTAGACTCTAGTCCATCACAATACTCCGTTGCATACACCTTCATCTCTCTCCCCCCGCAGCAGTCTCCTGATTAACACAGGTTTCTGCATGCTTCACACCTGTGCCTGAGCAGCTGAATGTGACTTCATACCAAAGGCACAATCGGGCCGCTAGTCTAAAATAAAATCCCAAACTATTACCAAGTCCAGAAACGCCCGGACTGGCTCCTGCTTATTTCTCTCACACCGGTATCAACCGCTGTCGGTCCACCGGGTCGATTCCGGACGCGCTGGCCTGCGTATCCCGCCGTGGGAAAGGTGATGCCTCTTACGTCTTTGCAGGCGCTGCGTCCCTTCCAGAAATGATCGTTTCCAAATACTCAGTAGGCTTTCATTCTAATTTCACTTAGGTTTCTCCTCGATTGACATCTATAGTCAAGACCATCATAAGATCATCAGTAACTCATTTCTCTGACTTATTTTCCTTATGGCGCTAATCACTCTCTGAAATTATGCCATATATTTACTTTTAATTGACTCTCTTCCACTGAAATGTAAAATTTTGACAACAAAGACTACCATTCATCTTTATTCCTGTAACATAAGTGCCATCTACAATGCCTCATATATAGTATTTGTTGTATAGATGAATAAAGGAAATGTGATTTTAATGTAAGCCTTTATCCATTCTTTTCTTCTACCTGAGGAACTAATTTCTTAAATAATAAACATTTAACCTAAAAAAGAAGGCATCTCAGACTAAACATGGGCTTAAATAGATGACAATAATAATGAGATAATATTTACTGAATGTTGAATAAATTCTAGGCACTATTCTAAGCATTTTATGGCTATCAACTTATTTAATTCTCACAAAACTCTATGAGGCAAGTCTGTTATTGTCTCCATTTTTTTCAGAAAAGAAAAGTACAGAGAGATGAAACCTTTTTCTCAGGGTGACACACCGTGTAAGAGGAAGAGCCTCTTACCAATGCCATCGGGCTGTAGAGCCTGCGTTCCCACAGCAGGTGCAGTTTTAGTGATCACCAGGCCTTGAGCCTTCCCACTGTCCTGTCCTGGCTCCCGTTACACGAGGCAGCATTAGAGCGGGGTCATCCGGACCTTTGAGAGGGGGCCTGGAAATGGGCGGCTTGAAGAAGGGAGCTGCTAAGTAGTTCTAAAACAAAGGCACCATCGTGTAATTATAAATGAGAGAAGCTCTTGGAAGTTGCTTTATAATCATAAAATGAACTATGTGTTGTTTATGGGCAGGTGTCTTATGGATGATGTGGAATGTGAGAAAAGGAATGGAGAGAAAGAAGAAAGGAAGGGAGGAAGGAAGGGTAAAAATCAGGAGGGAGGGAGGAAAGAAGAGAAGAAAGGGAAGAGAGAAAGAGTGAAGGAAGAAGAAGGGAACGATGTGGGGGAGGGCGCAGGGAGGGAGGGTCTGTTGTTGGGAAACCCTTTGGAAAATTAAACTTGGCATGGGTTTTGGATATGGTGTTCCGCACTGACCTCTGCCGAATTCTCTCCCAGGTCAGCCCTGTGAACCAACAGGTGAGTTGCACTTCCCTTTCTTCTTCATGGTCGGTGGGTACCTTGACACGTGGGCCAGCCCCGGAGGCCAGTGGGTGGCTGTCTGACATCTGGTGACAGCTGCCGAGGTGTATAAACAACCGTGGCTCGTTCGGGCCTCGGCTGCTGTTCACATTTGTTTCTGTACCTGATATTTGCATGTTCAGCTCGGGGAGCAGGTGTTGGTCTTCCCTCAAAACCACAGTCTTTTTTTTTCCCCTGGGAGGTCCCAGCTTAGGGAGGGATATGCTGCTTGCACACAGAAGTCATGGGCGTCAAAGATTGATTTTATTTTATTTACATAACAATTTTTTTTCAGAATTCTTTATTGTTGAAAGTATTACATATGCCCCACCCCAGGCCCTCACCACCCCACTGTCTGTGTCCACGGGTTATGCATATATGCATACAAGGTCTTTGGTTGATTACCTCCCACCCAGCCACCCTCCCTCAAAGATTGATTTTAGAAGTCTCTGCCCTCGCAGCCCCAGTGTAATCCTCAGCTGGGTGTTACACCAGGAGGGAGAAAGGAGTCACATACCCACGGAGAACACTGTTACAGCCAGCCCTGGGGCCATGTGCAACATAAAATAATGCTGCCGACTCCTTCCCAGTGTAGCTGAGCTGCTGCCACAGCAGTTACCCAGCGTGGTTTCTCTCTCGGACTCTGATTTCTGCAAACTTACTTCATTGTTCTGACCCTCGCTTAAAGTCTTACCTTTACTAGATGGAGAGAGGAGGCCATTTCCCCTCCAGAAGAAATATGTCACTGAAGTGTGTTTCAATGTAATATGTGTCAGAACTCTCTTTTTGTACATAAAATACTAAGCGCAGGGTTAAACGAGGCTGTCCTGTCCCATCAGGAACACAGGCTGCACGTGCAGCGAGGGAACCCCAGATTAGGGTTCCTATGACGAGAGATACTCAGAGCCGACTCCTCCGGCTGGGTCCCTCGCCTGGTGTTTGTCTGAGTCTGTGCTAATGCCACGGTGTCTTATTCTTGGCCCTGTTTTTCCTCTGAAAAGCCACACAGGCGCCTAGTCCTAGCCTAAGCCACACCCAGGGTGATGAAAGCTTCTGCCACCAGGAATTTCTCATGGAGCCTCTGTGCCCGAGAATTATCTCTATATATAAAAGCCTAAGTGACCATTACCACCAGATGACTGGACGACCGGCCAGTAGCTATGACGTGCACTGACCACCAGGGGGCAGATGCTCAACACAGGAGCTGCCCCCTGGTGGTCAGTGCGCTCCCACAGCAACCTCCCATGGTGGCTGGCCAACCTCCCATGGTCCCTGCTGGCCCTGATCGGCCCTGATTGGGATGGGCAAGATGGCCCCAATTGGCCCCGATCACTGGCCAGGCTGAGGGACCCCACCCGTGCACAAATTCGTGCACCGGACCTCTAATTTGAAATAAGCTCCAAGCTTTAAGATTGAGCTCCAAATCCTTGAAAACTGTGCTTTCTGATGTCCTACTCCATCCCCAACCCAGGCTCATTCAGAAAAGTGGCCTACAGGTGCCCAGGTACCTTTTTCCTTCCCTTTTCTGCTCAGGCCCTACATCTGTGCTGCTCCTCAGGCCTCTAGGGACTGCAGTATCCAAGGAGAGAAAGTGACTCCACTGTGCAGGGCATCCCACCCCCCAGCATGGGCAAATCTTGTCGCATCATTTTGGAACTGATGTTCTCCAAGTCCCAAGGCACAGCATTTCAGGGTAAAGATTACAGACATCAAACCAGATATAACCCCCCGGGGATCTGGAACACTTGGCATTTTTAGCTGGTGAATTAAAGATGCATTAGCCAATGAAATATCAAAATCCCTGAGAGCACTGGCCATTCAGGGGTTTGTTTATTCAACCCTCAGAGCCTCTACTATTTGGGAAGTTTTAAGAAATACCTCTTTCTTTCCTACCATAAGGAGATGAGATGAAAGCAGAATACAAATATAACCATCTTTAATTCATCCAGGAAAAAGCTCCTCTGGCAAAAACATACATCCCCGAGGCTCAAGATATGGATTAAATTTTCTCCTTGTAAACATGGCTTCTAAAGGGGCTTGTAAAGAAGTCTCACAAGAAAAAAAGAAAAAAAAAGAAAAAACCCAAAAACAAACAGACATAAATATATGAAAAAAAGTAAAAAAAAAAAGAAAAGTCTTAGAACACAGCCTGTGCAGACGTGTGGATTGAGGACATTTCTAAGCAAGTACATGCCTGCTTCTTTTATTACAATAATAAGGGCAGAAGAGAATAGGTAAAGAGGGAAGTGAGTTTCTCTAAGTCTTTCCCAGATCCTCCAGGTTTTATATTCTGTCTTTGAAAGAGATAGTCTGAGATGTCAGGGGAAAGGAGACAGAAGAAAATAGCCACTAAGGCCTACAACAAGGATGGTTGAAATATATTCACTTTCCCGAAGACTTCAAGCTTTGTCTTCCCCAATGCCAGCTGCAATGACAGTTGTCAGGATCCCTGCACGGTCTCCAGAAAAGCTGCTCTTAGTTCATGGATAGAAACTTCAGTGAGTAGGACTGAGTCAAAGGTAAGGGCTGCCTGTGGTAGGAGGCGATGCTACACAGAGGCAGGTGTGTTGGGGGTGAGCAGATGGCAGAAGAAAGCCCATGGACCACTTGTGGGTGGTGATGTGATCCGTGTGTCCAGTTGGCTGGTTCTCACTTTTTTCTTATTTTTGTTGATTTCAGAGAGGAAGGGAGAGGGAGAGAGATAGAAATATCAATGATGAGAGAGAATCATTGATCAGCTGCCTTCTGCACACCCTCTACTGGGGATCAAGCCTGAATCCCAGGCATGTGTCCTTGACCGGAATCAAACCCAGGACCCTTCAGTCCACAGGCTGCCGCTCTATCCACTGAGCCACACCAGCTAGGGCAGATTCTCAGTCTTGTTTCAAATGCTAAGAATACAAAATGACTTTGAATGCCATTGCCCTGGAATATGTGTTTAATCCTTCTCTCTAGCGCTGCTTTTGACAGTCAGCCCTCCTCGGCCCATAGAGGAGAACTCAATGACCCTGACCTGTAAGACCCAACTCCCTCTACAGAAGTTAGATGTCCTGCTCCAGTTCTTCTTCTTCAAAGATGGCTCTGCCCTGGGGCTGAGCTGGAACAACTCCTCGGAGCTCCAGATTACTGCCCTGAAGAGGAAAGATTCAGGGTCCTACTGGTGTGAAGCTCAGGCAGAGGGACATAAAGTCATACGGAGCAGGAGAGTCCAGATAGATGTGTGGGGTGAGTGCCACTGGGGCCCTCTGCTGGGTGGTCAGGGGGGGCGTGAGCCTGGGCTGTGCTGACTGTTCTGTTCTGCTCCTGAGCGGCTCTCTCTAGGCGAGTCCTTAGGGGTCCTCCCTTCTCCTTGCTATTCCCATTCAAGCCAGCAGAAGAGTATTTAGACAAACTTTATTGTGCGTCTTCACTCTGCTGGAGAGAGTGGAGAAAATCTACATAATACATGGTCCCTGATACAAGTAGCTGTTGCTCACTCAGCACTTTGAACAACCACGGTGAAATAGAGGGTGTTGTTGTATAGGAAGGGCTATTAATAAAAATACTGAGAAGAGAGAAAGATGACCGAGGTTGCAAGAGAAGGCTTTGTGGACTAGGCTATTACAGAGGGGCTTATGGAAGAAAAGTGTGGGCCTGGTTTTTAAAGATAGAAAAGGTGTTTTCTGATTCAAAATCACAGATGTTATTGCAAGTCAGGGCCGATGCTTCTGATATCCTTTCATTCTCGGACAAAGATGTGTCCATTGCGCCATAAAGCAGCTGTTTTCCAGATGCCTGGGCTTCCCAGACCTGCTCACAATCAACATTGGTGATGGTGGAACACACACACACACACACACACACACACACACACGCACACACACACACCATATACCACATACATACACACACACACCCCACAACCCCCCCATCCCCCACACACCATACACACACACCCACACACACACATCACACACACCACACACACACACCCCACAAACCCCCTCCACACACACCACACACACACACACACACACCCTACACACACTACACACACACACACTACAAACACACCACACACACACCACACACACACACCACACCATATACCACACACACACACACCCCCCACAAACCCCCTCCACACACACACACACACACACACACACACACACACACACGCCAACCTAGAGAGCAGGCCCTATTCCAGCACAGAGTTGGAAGCACCACTCAAACCCAGGCAGTCTGATCTGCAACACGCAATATTAACCAGTAGCTTTTGTGCTGTGAGGAGTGAGTGTTTGAGAGACATCAGGGTGGTGGGAAGTCCATTGTCCCAGGGAGGGAGGTGATGCTGCATCCTCCATGGTGATATTATGGTGCCTTCTTATCCTACCACCATGAACCCAAACAACGCCAATTTCAAATCAGCAGAACCCCCGGCCCCCTCCCCCATAATTAAACTACATAAATGATTGACTTTATCCAACGCCTTTTCCCCAGGACAGTCATACCTTCTCCTGCCCCTGAAACTCCTCCTCAGGGCTCACGTGTCATTTGTGTTTGACAGGAGTCCCTGTCTACAATGTGAGCTTGGCGACACAGCCCCCAGGGGGCCATGTGATGGAGGGAGAGAAGCTGTCTCTTGTCTGCATGGCCGCGGGAGGGACAGGAGACATCACCTTCCGGTGGTACCGAGGGGCCCTGGGGTCAAACCTGGGAGCCAAGACCCAGCACTCCCTGACGGCGGAGTTTGAGATTCCTGCGGTGAGCGAACAGGACGCCGAGGCCTATTACTGCGCAGCGGACAATGGCTACGGCCCCAGCCTCAGTGGGCTCGTGAGCATCGCTGTCAGAAGTAAGTGCCCCTGCCCATCAGCTGGCAGGAGCTGGCACACGGGACCCCTGTTTCCTCGGGGGCATCCTGAGGAAGCTCAGGGGGCCGAGCGCCTGAGGGAAGAGATGGTGAGTCTGCCACGCTGTCAGACACCCTCTCAGACACCCCACCATCTTTTTCAGTTCCAGTGTCTCAGCCTGTCCTCACCTTCAAGGCTCCGGGGGCCCAGCAGGTGGTGGGGGATGTGGTGGAGCTGCACTGCGAGGCCAGGAGCGGCTCTCCTCCCATCCTGTACCAGTTTTACCTCGAGGATGTCCCTCTGGGGAACAGCTCAGCCCCCTTCGGGGGAGGAGCCTCCTTGAACCTCTCTTTGACCTCAGAACATCGTGGGAACTACTCCTGTGAGGCCGACAATGGCCGGCGAGCCCAGCGCAGTGAGGCGGTGCCCCTCTACGTCACAGGTACAGCTCAGCCCACGGAACGGTCTTGGTGAACGTCTCTTTCTCAGCAGCCTGGGAGGGTTTCACGGGCCTCGCAGTGTTTGCTGCTGTGTTACCCCAGATGGGGTTCGGTGGGTGGTGCCGCCCTGGGGGTGTATCTGAGGGGCCTGGAGGACCTAGTGGCTGGGTGCATCTCTTGTTCTTTCATCGTTGAGAAGAGCTGCAAGTCTCTAGATAACCAAGTCTCACTGCCTCTTCCCCCTGCGAAGGGCTGACCTTGGCCTCAAGACGGCTGCTCTCCAAATCAAAGTCCTTCTCCCTGGCAGCTTACGCACAGGTCTCTCTCCCCAGTGCCTGCAGAGGACAGAGAAAACCCTGCTTCACCCATCCTTGAGGGGCTGCTTGGCGGCCTTGGTCTCACCACTATGGCCCTACTCTTTTGCTGTTGGCTCAAGAGAAAAGCAGGTGAGTATTTATGGAGATTGGTATGCTGTTACCGTGACCTTGGTTTTCACTGAAGTAGGCTGCATTTGTGTCACGTATACTATAAAGAATGAATGCATCGTGTGCGTCACCTGCCTGCAGACCTGCTTACAACTCCCAGCAGGGAACGGCACCTATTAAAGTAATGTTGTTAGTCAAGTCCCTATTCCCTTTGTATTATCAGTTGAAATCCAGCTGATACCTAATGATTCTGTGATTTAATTTTATATGAAAATGTAACTATTTAAATAACGAATCAGCTACTGGATGAGAAATACAGGGAGCAGTTCCAGCTATACTGACCATCTCCCAACTAAAGTCAATGCATCAATTCTTATGCACCTTAGACTGAAATTACATGCCCCCCCCCCCGCCCCATGCTTGTCCACACATCCTCACATTCTACTCATTGCTGGGTCTTTTCCACTTTTCAGTTTAAATGTCATTTTAAAAAATACATATTTTTAAAATTGATTTTAGAGAGGAAGGGAAAGGGAGAGAGAGATATAAACATCAATGATGAGAGAGAATCATTGATCGACTGCCTCCTGTATGCCCCACATTGGGGATTGAGCCTGCAACCCGGGCATGTGCTGTGACTGGGAATCGAACCGTGACCTTCTAGTTCATAGGTCGATGCTCAACCACTGAGCCACACCGGCCAGGCTTAAATGTCATTTATTCCCCAAGAGGCTTCACCTGGCCACACAGCCTACAATTCTCTTCTAGTATTCATCAACAGAGTACCAAGTTATTTAGTTTTTCACTTTTATCCCCATTGGTAATTAAATATTTATTTGTACCTTTAATCTTGGTTTCTTGGTCTCCGTTGATCAAGTTGGAGATGAGGCAAGAGAAGACACTATGAGCTTCTCATTTAAATTACAAGCTTTTTCTGCGTCTTTGGGCGCCTCACCCCATCTATCATAGGGCTGGGCAGTGCCTCCCCTGCAGGATCTTGTCACGATAAAACTAGGTGGTGTGGTTGTAAGATCAGAAGCAAAAAATCTAATAGATGTGAAGGTTCGAAGGCTTGAGCTCAAGTCTAAGCTTTGGTATTCACTGTCATTGGAAAGCTCGCTTAATTCTTCTAGGCCTGAGTCTCTTCATCTGCAAAATGCAGGGCCGGCCTGAATGGCTGCCAGTTTGTCCCTTGGGCACACAGTGGCATCTGTGACGGGCGTGCTGGCGCGGAAACATGCCCCGCACAAGCACTACAGGAAAACTGGTGAAGAGTTCCCCACTGACATGTGTTCATGTGTTTGACTTTCAGGAAGACGTCCAGCCAAGGACCCACCCAGGTGAGCCTCTGCTTCCTCTTTCTGCATGGACAGTGTAGAAAGATCTATTTTATAAAAGTTAAATGGTCCTCTCTCAGGAGCTTTTTTCATATTAATATATAGATATATTTTATTAACTTCAGAGAGGAAGGGAGACGGGGAGAGAAATAGAAACATCAATGATGAGAGAGAATCATTGATTGGCTGCCTCCTGCACACCCCACCCTGGGGATCGAGCCAGGCATGTGCCCTGACCGGGAATTGAACCGTGATCTCCTGGTTCATAGGTCAATGCTCAACCACTGAGCCACGGCAGCCGAACCATATTTTTATTATATCCAAAACTTCCACCACACAGTTCCCTCACTGATAACTTGGAATATTCATTTGCTCCTCCTCTTCTTTTATATATTAACAAGTTAATTTAAATCCTTTCATCATTCTTCCTAATTTACCACCTTCGCTAAATCTGTAGAATGAGAAAGCTACATTACTTTGACTCATTCGATGCATTCAGTCAGTTCACCAATATCTGAGGGTCTGCAAGTCATTCCATCAAGTGAAATGGAAATATATACAAATTTTGAGAGTCGTGAAGTATCATAGATAAATATACATTTCTGTAACACAGGCCAGAGAGTAGTGAACATACTGAAAATTTTCATGATAAAGTTCTTTAGGAGTTTAGAAGAGGGAAAGATTTTTAGAATGCTTTCATCTGGGGATATCAATATGTACTTGATATGTTCTATAGTGTGTTATTGTTTACGCCAACAAAAAAAGAGGTGTGCTTCCCTCCCCCCTAAATCAGAGTAGCATGTACACGCCGAGACAATCATCTTATTTTCTTTCCTCAAGACCCTTGTTCGCCTAGAACATGCTTTCCATGTGGAGTGAGTCACTATTTCTTCATTTGGTACTTACTGAGCACCCGTAATGTGAAAGGCACTATCCCGGGTGTGGGCAATGCCACAGTGAGCCGTCAGCCGAGGACCTTATACTTCTGGACTGCATGCCTGGAGTTACTCTGCCATGTCTTACTCAGCCCCTGTACTGGGCTGTGGCTTCTACCATACAGCGGTGCGGATTGCTGATTTCCCCAGAAATCACTATTCTACTTAGAACTCTTTCCAACAGGCCCCTCCCATTCAGTGTCTTACTCATAATCTCAGATGGTGACGTCTGGAATGCTAGCACAGACGGATAGCATGTGTTTCTGTGTTTGCAGGAGCCCTCCCAGCCCTCCACCCCGAGAATTCACCTACGTGAACGCAACGGCTCCAGTGCAGCAGCAGCCGATATATGGAAACGGTGAGGTGTCCCCATGACCTGGACCAAGGCAGGTAGAGCGAGCCAGGGAAGAGGCCACGGGGTCATGTCTGCTGGTCAAACCTGGCCCTGCTGTGCTCCGGCCACCTCCCCAAATAGATGGACCACCCGTCTTCAGGGCTGAGAAGGGGGCGTGTCTGCAGCAGTTTAAATGGCAGGAAGAAGGGACTGTGTCGTAACGCCTCCTTTCCCCTCTCTCAGTGAATGTTGTCAGTGGAGGTGAGGTTTACTCCCTGGTGTACCATATGCAACAGGAGCGGCGATCAGCGCCAGGTAAGACACGAGGGAGCGCATTTTTCTCTGACTTTTGTCTTGCCTGGAACCAAGAAAGGGTTGTGTATAGCTGTGCTCTTTTGTGTGGTCGCTTCTGCCCTTGGCGCTGACTGCGCATCGTTGTGCCTCTCTGAGGGCCGGCCTTTGGCCTGGAACCTGCCTCAAGGAGAACCCAGTGCCTGATGGTGGAGTGTACACCTCACTCTGCAGTCAGGTGCAAGCCCTGGAGAGGTGGCTTCTGCTTTTCTCTGTGACGAGCCCTATGCACTCCCTGCAGCACCCGACACAGCCGCCCAGTTGCTACTGTTGTCCTACCTGGTACACGGTGGGCCCGGAAATGCTGGCGGATGTAAATGCCAGGAGGGACCTACTTATCCTCCCACCCCCAGGCTGTTACTTTTTCTCTGCATATAAGGGAAGTATATTTGTGATAGGCAGAAAAGTGAGACAAAAATAGTAAGAGAAATAAATCCATGGGCGATAGACCGAAGAGGAAGAAGCCTTTATTAAAACTAACTTAGTGAAGACTTTAAGTGTAAGTACAACCTCATAGCATGCACCCTTTTCTTCACAGTACCATCCCTGAGGACACAGATGCAGGATAAGGTGAGTTGGAATTCCTCCAGGCTCTTTCTTCTGGGGTCTGGTTGTCATACTTTTAAAATGATGGCCACTAAGGAAAAATGAAAGAGCCCATGGTCTACCTTCTCCTTTGTCTTCTCACACAGTGGGGAGAAAAACATTCAGTCATAACAACGAAGTGTCACTGTAGAAGGACATTTGGGAGGCTTGCGTATACATGTATTTTAGCCATGGACATATGGGTGACTTGGGACTAAACTGTAGTGTTTACCCGGTCTAAAATTTTTATTTAAAAATCTTTACACTGAAATACTGTTAAGCTGTACACATATAACTTTGTGCTGTAAGGTTAACTAAGCAACACATCTACATATATAAAAAGCTAATAAGCAAAGTGTCCCCTCGGGAGTTCAACTGAGAGACTGGGAGTTCAATTGCTCACTATAACATGTGCTGACCACCAGGGGGCAGCATGGAACGAGGGGAGGCCCCGGCCGGCAGACAAAAGGCCCCGATCAGCCCTGATTGCCGGCCAGGACCCTACCTGTGCATGTATTTCATGCACAGGGGCCTCTAGTAGAAATATAAATTAATAAGCTAAACAGTGATGTTTATAATTAAAAATAGGTAATTTCTAAACTTTGAACAATTCATAACATCACTGATGATACAAAAATGCTTTCATAAAATGCAGAAATACTGATTCTTCACGGATGCAGGGACAGCAGGTGCTTTGCAATTTTGTTAAGTGTGGTGTGACAGTCAAATGTCTCAGGACAGAATTCAAGTCCTTGGTAAACCCCTGGGTGGCACGCTACCTTTAGTTTATGAATACCAAATTCTGAAATTAAAAAAAACCTGACAGCCCCTGGGACTGCCTCGCAATGGCCCATAAGAATGAGAGAGGCCTCGTATGTTTGGGTCAGTTTGAAGGTCATCAGCAGCACCTCTGCAGCCCACCAGTGATTGCAGACCCTCTGAAACGGCTGCCCCAGGGCCACAGTCTTCCAGTAACTTCTAATTCATGTGCTGCACGGCGCACCATGCCTTTAGCTGCTTGGGAAAGAGAACTGGTGGGAGGCATGCTCTCCCTGTGTTCCCTGCTCGGGCCCTACCCCTGTGCCTCTGCTTCTAGGACCCCTCAGCCATCTACTCTGGAGTGAAAACCGCAAGCAGTTCAGATGATGACTACGAGGATGCTATTTAAGTTATGGAAGACTCTGCTCTTTATAAAGCATCTGTGACCCAGGCCTCAGAACCAGTGTGTTCTTCAGAGATCTGGGGAATCCGCTGTCCAGGAGCCCCATCCAGGGGAATGCCCTCCACGAGACGATTTCCACCTCTACTGGAAGGCAAAGTTGGCTCAAGCCCCGAACAGACCACCCCAGAGACCCCACATGAATGAAGAAATAGGAAGGCCTCTGCTACCAGAACCTGATGCTTGCTGGTTCTTTCAGGCCCAGGTCAAATTGTGCTCTAACTTCTTTTTCTAAGAGGAAACAGGACAGGATAAAAGCACTTAGGACTTTGGGGTCGAGGGAAAGCAGGGCTTAGGGTGCACAAAACCCAAGGTTAGTGATTTCATGGGACTTCTCCATACAGAGAGCTGTGTCCATCATGTGGTCCAGGTGCCTTTTCTGCTCAGACGGTACTGACCACTTACATTAATCTTCCTGTTTCTCCATAAAATATGTGACTCGTCACATTTGAAGTCGCTGTTACCAAATCAGAATTAAAACAATGTTACACAAGACATCACTGCGGTTATGCTCAATGTTAGCATATTTTGTATGTACAAGCCCAGCTGGATTTGTAGTGAGATATATTTGTGCTTGTCACCACATCCAATGTTCTGCCTTTGCTGCAGCCCCAGAAGCTTTGTGAGTATAATTTTTTATTCACAAATGTTGTGAAAACACGTGAAAATATGATTTGGAGTTTGTATTTTAATTTTAAATCAATCATTTGCTAACGCTTATAAATTTAAACAATATAAAGCATAAAATGTAAAAAATTAAAGTCTTCCCTGTAATTTAACACAAGTGGCCCCCATTGTTAAACATTAAGCATTGTTAAAATCACAGCTCTGCAGAGATTTTTCTATTTTTGTACAGGCATTTATACATCATTGTAAATATGTAAATATTTAGAAATATACCTATTTAATAAAATACCATGAAATATTTTTTAAAGTTGAAAATGCTACCATTTATTCCTCTAGACAAACATATCAATGCACAAATATGATGAATATAAAAAGAAAATTATATGATAAACTCAAAAACAGCCTCTGATTCTGAATTCTGTCAGTGTTCTTACCTTTTGGGACAGCGTGAATGGACATTATTATGCTAAGTGAAGTAAGCCACCAAGGTGCATGCCCTTGACCTGGATTGAACCTGGGACCCTTTGGTCTGCAGGCTGACGCTCCATCCACTGGGCCAAACTGGTCAGGTCCGCACAGATGCTTTCTTACACTGCAGAAGGCCAGGGGTTGGGCACTCTTCTAGATGGTCTAGACCAGTGGTTGGCAAACTGCGGCTCGCGAGCCACATGCAGCTCTTTGGCCTCTTGAGTGTGGCTCTTCCACAAAATACCACAAAATACCACGTGTGGGCGCGCACATACAGTGGGATTGAAACTTTGTGGCCTATGTGCAGAAGTCGGTTTTCGGAAAGGAGATAGGCGAAACAAGTATACAAGACGAGTGTGGAAGAAAGAGTTGGAAGGGGTCGACCCCAGCGAATGTACCTCAATCAGATTGAGGACGTTTTTAGCAAAGGCCAGCTTAGGACAGTGATGGCGAACCTATGACATGCATGTCAGAGGTGACACGCGAACTCATTTTTTTGGTTGATTTTTTTTGTTAAATGGCATTTAAATATATAAAATAAATATCAAAAATATAAGTCTTTGTTTTGCTATGGTTTCAAATATTAAAAAATTTCTATATGTGACACGGCACCAGAGTTAAGTTAGGGTTTTTCAAAATGCTGACACGCCGAGCTCAAAAGGTTCGCCATCACTGGCTTAGGAGCACCCTAATTAAGTTAATAACAATGTACTTACCTATATACAGTGGGGCCTTGACTTACGAGTTTAATTTGTTCCATGACGGAGCTCGTAACTCAAATTACTCGTATGTCAAATCACTGTGACGTTCACTGCACCAACTAGCGGTGGGGTATCTGAAGCTGGCTCGTAACCCGAATTTTTTTGAGCTTGCAACTCAAAGCAAAAAATCGTCCCAGAGACGGCTCATATCTCAAAAAACCTTGTTAGTCGGGATACTCATAAGTCAAGGCCCCACTGTAGTTTAGTTTAAAAAATTTGGCTCTCAAAAGAAATTTCAATTGTTGTACTGTTGATATTTGGCTCTGTTGACTAATGAGTTTGCTGACCACGGGTGAAATCAAGACCCTGAAGATCAGCTGAAAGGAAAGTGGAGTGGGCCTTGTGAAGTCCTATTAGTTAAACCTGGGATGCACCACCCACGAGTAACACCTGTGAACCCTTAACTGGTCTTTAATTACTTTTGAAAAGAACAGGATGACCGAGACCCCAGCTGGCCAGGAGAAGACCCAGACATCTCAGAAGCAGACTGCTTCCGCCCAGCAGTCCTGACTAGGCCTGTATCACCCTAAACTTACTGTAGTTGGAGTTACCACATTAACCTAATCATTTCACTAAACTCTCCACTTTAACTTGCTATTGTTTTGCTTTAAACACTGTGCTATTCGTTCCTGATTGTGATATTTGCTTGTATGGTCCTAGTATTCTACTTTGTTATGCTTCCTTGAACTTTTTTGAAGAATTAAATCACATCCTTTGTCCCCTGATCAGCCGTAAGCAGCTAGAGCAGGCCCTGCCCCTGTTCTGCACAACTGAGAAATGAACAAAAAGGGGGTTTGTAACCTAGGAATCAGCTCAAACTGGCTCTATCCTGTTTCTTACAAGATATTGAGAGACAACAAAACAAAACTGCAAGTCATGCATCTGAAGCATATGTACAGGAGAAAACGTTACAAATTAAATTCAGAACCTAAAAGGGCTGTGGGACATTTACACTATGGAATACTGTGCAGTTATGAAAAAGAGAGGCCTCTTACCCTTTGGGACAGCATGGATGGGCCTGGAGAATACTATTCGAAGTGAAATAAGCCCATCTGAGAAAGACAAATATCACATGATCTCACTTATTTGTGGCATCTAATGAACAAAATGAATTGACCAACAAAGTAGCAGAATTTTCACAGATACATCGCTTTTGGCAAGAGAAATAAAGGGAAAAAAACCCACAAACGGGACTACATCAAAATAAAAAGTTAATGGACAGTAAAGGAAATAGCATAAAAATGAAAAGGGAACCCGGTGTACGGGAGAACATTTTTGCCAATGTTACATCTGATAAGGGGTTAATTTCCAAAATATATAAAGTACTTATACAACTCAACAAAAGAAAGACAATCAAATTTAAAAATGGGCAGAAGACTTGAATAGATAATTCTCCAAAGAGGACATACAAATAGCCAAGAGACATATGAAAAAATGCTCAACATCACTAATCATCAGAGAGATGCAAATTAAAATGACAATGAGGTACCACTTTGCACCTGCCAGAATGGCTACTATCAATAATTCAACAAACAATCAGTGCTGGCATGGATGCGGGGTAAAGGGAGCACTAGTTCACTGCTGGTGGGAATTCAGATTGGTGCAGCCACTATGGAAAACAGTATTGAGTTTCCTGAAAAAATTAAAAATAGAACTTCAGTTTGACTCAGCAATTCCACTTATGGGAATATATCCTAAAAACCTCGAAACACCAATCAGAAATAATCTATGCATCCCTATGTTCATAGCAGCGTTATTTACAATAGCTATGATTTGGAAACAGCCCAAGTGCCCATCAGTAGATAAGTGGATAAAAAAGCTGTGGGACATTTACACAATGGAATACTATGCAGCTGTAAAAAAGAGGGATCTCTTACACTATGGGACAACATGGATGGACCTGGAGAATATTATGCTAAGTGAAATAAGCCCATCTGAGAAAGACAAATATCACATGATCTCACTTATTTGTGGCATCTAATGAACAAAATGAATTGACCAACAAAATAAGACCTGAAGCAGGGAGGCATGGAACAGACTAACATACTTTGATGTGGGATTTGGGGGATGAGAAGAGATAAACCAAAGAACTTATATACACAGCCCGTGGACACACGCAGTAGGGTAGTGAAGACCTAGGGGGGGGGGGGGGGGGTAAAGGCTGTAAGGGTGGAAAATGGGAGGTATCTGTAATACTATCAACAATTAAAATATATTAAAAATATTGAATGTAAACTGTAATTGAATATATATATATAATTTTATTTTTATTTTTATTTTTTACAAAGGACCTGATTATGGCTGGAACCTGGACATCAGAACCCTTTCAGAGGCAAAGGGTCTGTTGTCCAGGAAGATCTTGTGCTGAAACCTCTTCAGTTTTGCCCCAAACCCCAGATCAGGGAGACAGACGTGAGCTTTGCTTCTTGTCTCCTTGCGGGTCCGCCTCGCAATAACGCTTTGGCTTTTCTCAGCAGCGGGTGCCCCGGTACTGGCTTCTATGGCCATCGGGCAACAAGTCTGTGCTCAGCAATGTGACTGTTACTGTCTTGGGTGAATTTAGTCATTACTATGATACGTGCTTTACATACATTTTGACACTGACTTCTGTCATAGTGACGTTGGAACCCCAAATTCAACCAAATATATCGAGAGCTCTCGAGTTAACTAGCCCCATTTTTCCACTCTGTTCTCATAACCAACTGCTTCAAATGGGAGATGTTATTTATTTTGTTGTGAATTGTGTGTCATGAAGATTCTCTTTGTCTCTGTCTCATTGTTGTCAGACCTCATCTCGTGTGCCATTCAAGACATTGAACAGAGTTTATAGAAAAGGTGGTTGTCCTGCATCGGTTGCAGTGGTCGGCAAACTGCGGCTCGCGATCCACATGCGGCTCTTTGGCCCCTTGAGTGTGGCTCTTCCACAAAATACCGACTTCTGCGTGTGGGCCACGAAGTTTCAATCGCACTGTATGTACACGCCCGCACGTGGTATTTTGTGGAAGAGCCACACTCAAGGGGCCAAAGACCCGCATGTGGCTCGTGAGCTACAGTTTGCTGACCACTGGGTTAGGGTATTCGTCTGTTTCCTGC